CCAAACACTCTTTAAGAACACAAAGCCCATCATTGCACAAATCCCAGAACTTCGAAGTCACAAAAGCACATAAGAATCCTTCCACTCTCCATCTCCCTCCCTCCATGCCTCACCTGCAGCCATTGCTGCCTTTCTTCATTCCTCCTGGAGGGCAACCCCTCCCCCGCTGCATTTCTTGCCTGTTTGCTGCTGCCCACACAGGTGGCTGCCACAGCAGTTACAGATCAGCTCATGGCTGGCCATCTTGATCGTCTCTCCTCTCCCCCCACCCTCCTCCTCCTCCTTCTTCTTTCCCTTCAGTGCAGCTAGAGCTGACTCCCCGTCCTCCCAAGGCTGCTGCTTTCTCTCTCTCTCCCTCTCCCACCCAAAATGCCTCCATTTATAGCCTTTCTTGTCTCCGGCCCCCTCCTCCTCCTTTCTCAGCCACTCTGAAGCTCCAGAGGACTCTCTCACAGTAAGTCCTTGCCTGCGCTGGCTCTTTCCCTCCTCCACTACACTTGGCTAGGCAGGGCTGTGTACCACCTGCCACTGGTTAATGTACCACAGGTGGTACACGTACCACCGGTGGAAAAGCCCTGTCCTAGATGTTATCTTTGAGAAAAACAGATTTTTTAATTTCAGTTCACCCTGGTTGTCTTTTTTAGAAATTTGGCCAAACAGTTTCAGCTAAACAGCATGGTTTGTGCTAATCAAGCTACATTTTATTATGTTTATCCAACTATTAGATTACCATCTCAACCTGGGATATTTTTTAAAATTATCTTACTTTTAAAATTTCTCCACTACATACAAACACTGATATTATTTATCACTTCACATACTGTTAAACAAAACTTTTGTCACTATATCTGGTTTAGAAAAAAGCCATTTGTCTTTGTTTTGTGCTATTCTTCAGGTTCCCAAGTCTTCTTCTAATAACCTTCTGGAGGTTTGTTCATTTTTTGATAATTCACTGCACCTCAATTTCCTGTCTTCCTAAATATATCAGTTAAAAAAAATAAAGCAGAATTAGTATGTCCCATCTGTGGTCTTTGGCTTATTTTACAACAGGATCATGTTAATGACTATGTTAATACCAGTTAGGAAAGGCATTCCTCTTTTTTTAACATTCTAGGTTTTAAGAATTGTTCCTGGTGTTTTAAAGAGTTTTCAGTAAGATGATTCCATAAACAAATTTGAGAAAAAAACAAAACATTACAATGAAAAATATAGTGAAGTGAGGAAACCCAAAATATCTAAGAACGTTGTCAGTTTCTTGTTTTTCAAAACAATAATATGGACATTGTTAGATGTTAGATGAGAAAATGTGGGAGGCTGGATACAATCATTGTTTCATCCATGTTCTACTGTAATTTAAGATTGGTCTCTTGGAATGTAGTTTTAACATAAGAGTGGCATCTAGAAAAACTGTCAGGGATCATACAGATGCACTCTGGCAGTGATCAAGGTTTGGGGGAAAACTATTGTGTCTAAATAACCCATAAAAGAAAAGCACACAAGGGCATGGGTTTTCTTTTTTTCTTCCTTCTCTTTTTAGTCAATACTAGTTTATCCACTTTGATAAAATAGTTCAGAATGAGGTTTGCAGACTTGCAGGTTTTCTTTCAGAAGAAACAACTTGAGCCAATACTTTTAATGGCACATTTTCATTTTGGACCATCTAGATATATTGCTTTCTGTAATGCATCTTTTTTCCATTTATTTGGAGTGATTTGCACCAGCCACTATACTGAGGTGCCTTATGTATGTGTGTGTGTGTATTCTAAATGAACCTTTTAATATCTCAAATGTGATAAAAGTAATAATTGGTATTGTCTTCCTTCCACTGTAGCCTAGTTTTATATTCAATATTTATTTCACTGAACCAGGCGCTGCCATTACCAGTGTAACTAGAGCTAAATTATAGCATTGAGCCATCATGTGGCCAACTTCAAATTTTGGTGGCAGAGTGCAGGTAACAAGGCAGTGATATAAGGACTGAAATATTCACAATTTGCCGGGATCAGAACATAGGTTTCTTGGACTTCCGATTTTGCATCATAGCAATGCACCTGAGGGATTTTGCCCTAAATGGGTCTAAAGTCATCCCTGAGAAACAACAAACGAGGAGGACCCCCTGTGGATCACAGAAAGATGGCAGTTGATCTGTTTGGTCCGGGGGAAGCCCTCCAACCCGACAGGAGAAAGACTAGCTGCATTCCGGTTACTAGCCCAAGCTACTGGCAGCTGAAGTCCAAAAGCACCAACTAGAACAACTGTGAACTGTTGGAAACTGGGTGAGAATATTGATCTTTTTTTCCTTCAATTTTGCAACTAATTTCCTGAAAAAGATCCTCAAAAAGCAAAAATCCTCCAAAAGTGAGAATGAAGGGGATTGCCCCACCCTTCCATAGATGGAAGCAGCTCTAATTTTTATGGGGAATAGAAACATATTGAAATGGAATTTAATATAAAACTATAGTCTGGATAAATCTGAAAACTGTGGAAATTGTTAAGACCTTCCCTTTGAAAGAGTATTGATGAAACTACAAGAAAATATTTTTTTTGTTTTACAAGTTGAAAAATGAACTACTGACATCTAGTGGTGGATTAGAGTATAAAATTATAGCTGCCTGGGCTCAGAAACTGGCAAAACACCCAGAAACAGATAACAACTGTCCCTTTGATATTCAGCAACTCCTGGCTAAACAGAACAGCTCGGAACAGAGGAAAGAATATACATTGGGCTATCTACTATAGAGTGAGATCTACAAGTGTTATAAAAAATTGCTTACTTTGTTGGATTATAATACTTACTGAGCAGAGATTTGTTAGGCTTAAGAATTATTTGCAGAGAAAGAAAAACTTTGATTTTTGGCCATTCTTCTAGGGGGAAAATTACTGAATTACCTTTGGATGGTTGAACATTTTGGACTGCAAATTGTGATTGATTGATAATAGTAGGACCTCTGGGCAGAAGAACCGTTATAAATTATTGTTTTCAGTGATGGATTAACAAATGGAAACACATTGGAGTATAAAGACCACATATAAAGATAACAGCTATATAAAAAATTGTTGTTTGGACCTTAAGATTGGTTGGTTGGATAAAACTAATATAGGGGATAATGGTATCTGTGAAAGACTATTCGGGGGGGGGGGGAGACAAAATGGATGTTGCATACCCATTTAGAGGTGGTAGGAAACCACACTCAAGATCTTTTACTGAAGCTCCCAGCCTGGGTCATCAGAGATCTGCAGGAGTAATACTTCAAGACAAGGCAAATATTTTCCAGGAGGAAATGCATGCAATGTTGCAACTAATTCAAATGACAATTGTTTCAAATCATAATGAGATTAAAAACAATTTTGATGACATAAAAGAGCACATCTTTAACCTAAGCTTACAACCAAAAAACTCTCAGAAAATGACAATAAAGAATGAACAAATAAATCAGACAATAGAATACAAACCAGAGGAAAGTGACCCAAAAATGGAGGCTATAAACGAAAGGAACTATAGCTTAGCACAGGCAAAAAAAAATCTGCAAGATTCTGTTATAACATCGGAAAGGGAAAAGACTTTTTATTTTTCAGGACTTCAAAATAAACCAGAGGATAAAAAAGAAGATCCTAGAAAATGGATTATAGAGATGCCAGGAGAACTACTAAGAGTTTGGGAGACAAAAAATAAAAAGAAAAATTGAGGGAGAAGGAAAGGGGAAGCCTTTTAATGCATACAAATGGGTAAAACTCCTCACCAAAAGTACTCCACCTAATCTGTCTTCCCCAGCTCTAATAACACTTATAAAAACACCAGAAGAATTCCTTGGCAAACTGAATACACTGACTTGGAAAGTTGTCTGGCAAAAGAAGAAGTCTAAAGTTAGATTTAAGAGATCAGATGATTCGACTTACCAGATGGAGTACTATATGGTTAAACACTTGTTTGAATATGACTAAAAAAAATAGATAAATTTTGGATATAAATGGGCTCTATAATAAAAGGGATGTGATTTATAAATAGTATAATATCTTTGTTCTTTTTTTCCCGTTAAGAGAAATATAAAAATACTGGGATGGCTTATGTGAGCAGAATATATAGACATTTAAATGTAATTAATTTTGAGAAAATTAAAATTGATAAGAATGTTTTGAATATTGAAGGGAAACTAAGCTTAAGAAAGAACATCGAAAACAGGACCTATGGTGATTCAATAAAATGACTCTTTGCAAATACAACTGAAACATAAGCTGATTAGAAAAGATGTTATACACTGATGTTAATGTTATTTGTATAAACACCAGAAAAATATTTATATTTAACTTTGTATGTATTGAAAGTACTAAGAATTGTAGTTACTCAATGTTGGCAAAAGGAAAATACTATTGGAAGAAGAGAAGATCAAGGAAATGTATTACTAACTAGTATGTTGATTATGGAAACATAGAAATTAACTATTATTGATTGTTGTTAAATATATGAACCCAGATAACACCTTGTTTACCAAGTACTAAAAATTGTTATTGTAAAAAATTAATAAAATATATTTTTAAAAAAGAACATAGGTTTCTTGATCTTAACTCATTTAACTCATAGCATTAATATTGGAATTAATTTAATTAAAAGATGTTGATTTCAGCTCCTGATTTCTTGCCCAAGCTTAACTGGAACAGTAGTTTTATGTACAACACAGCAATAGCTTCTTTTGAAAAAAACAAGTCTTTTGTCCTAAATCAAGAACTTATTGTTTTATTCTTTAACAGACAAATGACTAATGTTAAAAAACTGTCTGAATATCAATATGTTCAAACAAACATTTTAAATACATTCTTCCTCTTAAAGATCTTTTCTTCAGATACAGGAGATCAGTTCCTTTATCATCCCTATACTATGATGCAAGTATAGTGTACACTTGCATAGGAACTGTACTTGCGTTACTTCACTTTTAAGAAAATAGTTAAGACACACACCTTAAATCTGTTTTTTTAAATTATTTTAACAATAGGCTGCATGTTGCTTATTTTGCTTTTAAAAAGTTTTTATTTGTATATATGATTTTATGTTGTAAATTGTCTTGATAGCTCTTATTTATATGGAATACAAATGACATGAATAAATTCAGCTACTTCTTACTGGAAACTATACTTTTAAAAATTGTCTGTGAAACTAGAATACCAATGATTTTTATGTCAGTATAAGGACAGGAGTGAAGTAGCTATCAGTATAAATTGCTGCCCCTCTCAGGAATAAAAGTAGCAAAGAAAGCTGGCAACTTATGTATAACAAGATTAAACTTACAAATTCAAGAATATTTTCTACAGTTTAAACTCATATATCCAATGCATCTGGAGTGCATCTAATCTGGTAGAAAGAGACTGTGGTTGTTCAACAAAATACTTTTCAGTATGTATATAGCCAGAGGTACTTTTAAATTTCTGTTTCTTCAAAACATTTTTTGAAGGCCAGCAATGTATAGAAATGATGCTCAATGACTTAGTTAAGGTTGAGAAATGTGACAGTAAAATCAACAATACACACAAGAAAGATTTTAATTTCCAAGTAATGTATTTGGCACCAGGTAAGTTTGATTGTCTAAGAGTTATATATCATGCAATATCTCTAATAGCATACTCACAGAGAAACTTTAGTCATTTTAAATAATAGAAAAATGATCATTTAATATCTTGTTTCACCTCGAACAGAAGCTTCGGAATGGATGTAAAATACTTTGGCAATATATTTTTCCTAATACAAAACTGAATAGAAAATTTAGAAAAGTAAAGTTCTATATACAACAGGTGCTGGGGCTTTGGAATTCCAGATGTAGTAATCTGATGAAAGTACCTCACGAGCTAAAATTCAAAGAAATGGAGAAAGTAAGTTCTTAGATGGATTATATCCTAATGTACAAAATACATTTCATTTTTTTAATTTAAAAAGTAGATGCTTTCATAAGACATAATAAAGCAGCAGAATATTCTAACATAGAGATACATGCTTCATTAAAAACTCAAATTTTCAGACCAATACACAACAAACAGGCATAAATGTTTGGAAGTTAAATGTATTTGCTTCAATTCAAATTGCCAAAGATGTAATATGCTCACCTGTATTGATCTTTGCTTTGCCTGATGAAAAGACCTGGATGGAATGTTGGTCTGTGTAACATCCAGTAAGTGTGAAATCCAAGATTTTAAAATAAAGCTAAAGACAACCAAGCAAAGAACACTGAGAAAGAGATGCAGTGACTCTCATTTCTGTTGTGTTTTTTTTTTTGAGGGGAAAGGAGGGCAATATACTAGCAATTTATATATAATTGATGAACTACAAAGAAATGCAGCAACCAATTTAAACACGCAGATGATTGGCCTACATAACACAAAGATCTATATGTCAATCTACAGCAGGAGTGTCAAACTGGTGGCCCGTGGATGCATCACATGCAGGCCACACCCACCCTGGCTCTGCAAAGGCAAAAAAACGTTGCTATGCGTCACGTGACGTGATTGAGTTTGACACCTGTGATCTACAGTAAAGGTTGACTTCCTTATTTATTTGTTTTAAACTGAAAACTACGTTAGCTACACCATAGCTTTTTGAATAATTTTTATCTTGATAAGATTTGATTTTTTTAAAATTTGGAAAAAGAAAAAAATCAGTCTGAGATTGGTTCTTGCAATGGTAATTTTCTCATACATACAACTGATTCTGAAAATGAGATCTCTTGGAAAGATTCATATTGTTCCTTTACCCAACTTGAAAGCCCACAGCACCTAGGAACTGCCATTCTCTGAGCACACAGATACCATTTTCCATTGACTGCAAAGCCAGATAGCTAAGATCTAGTTTCCCCCATTTTCTCTTAAATATCACAACTTACTTTGACATACGCAGTATTTCCAGTACAAACAGCATCCACTGGCTGATCCTGATTTGTTGGACCAAAAGCAACAGTCCCAGTAAGAGAAATTTCCAGTGATTTTGGAAATTTTTGCCCTTTAGAGTTAAGAAAAAGAGGCTAGAAATATTTCACAGGAATGACATTAACATTCTTCTTCTACAGGCTAAATTATTTAGGATAAAGATCTATTGGTCCTACATAAAACAGAGATGGGGGAAAGTCAAGAACAAAAGCTGTGTCTGGAGAAGGATCATTTTACCAGTCAGAATACATCTTCTTGCAATGTATTTCAGTGTAATTTTTGGTCAGACTCACTTTTGGTATTGGAGCCTAACTCAGAAAAAGCAGGAAAGTTTGCAAGATATTTCAGGATAAAAAATCCAAAAGAATCCTGGCTTGCAAGGATGTTTGTGGAAGAGGTGGACATCTGACAAAATGATCAAGAAAAAAAAAATCCTCCAGGTGCCATTAAGGTTTGCGAAGAATTCTAAATAGCCTATTTTCAGAAATAGATAAATAGAATTAGTGCACAGTGTGTGGCAAATAAAAATGGAAGGGATCCAGGAAGATAATAAAGCAGGGGAGAGTAGTTTACAGGTAACTACAGCTTTCAAAGCCCTCCAAATTTGGACAGTTGAAAATTTTCACAAAAATAATTAAAATAAGCATGGTAAACCTTATAGTTATTTTATATTGATCCTATCTCCATGGGCCAAAATATTTGGCCTGTCAGCTGATGATACCACAACACTGCCATGTATTCTGCAGCTGTAAAGCCTCACCAAATAAAAGATTGCTCATGCCTTTTGATCTCATCTGCTGCTTTGGAAAAAAATTCTGGAAAGATGGTAAGACAGAATATTGTTCTTTACCAAGCAACTTAATTTTATTCCAGATGGAGAAGACAAGTACAGGCCTAGGTGAAGGAATCTATCTTTGGAATTGTTTGGTTTATCAGAGACCTCTAGTATATTTTTAGGAACATGGAAAGCTGCTGTATATTAGCATTGCTCTGTTTAAGCCCCATATTGTCAACACAGTGCTTCCAGCAGCCTTTGGGTAGGAATTTTCCCCACTTTATTTGGAATTGTCAGGAATTAAATGATAAAGCACAACATAAAATAAATTCCTTCCTCCATTAGTAAACAAAGCAGACTGCAAGCTGTTTCCAAATGAACTTGAGCCTTTCCTTGGATCAGATGGGGCCAAATATGCTTAACTTACCTATGAACCAAATGAACAAGCTTTTCTCTTTTGATACCTCCAGTTGGCCATAGCTGATTTTGTATTCCAAGTGTGTAATAGGACCTCTAAGAATCAAGAGCAAAGCATTATTACTTATTGCGGAATGGTAGTCTAAATGACCTTATTATTAATAAAGCAATTTTGAGTAATTTCTGAACAACTAAGAAAACAGCACATGCCTTTTCTATGAATTATATCTGACACAAATCAACAATTTATATTAGTTATTCCCACTCTTGGTGCCCTGTAGATATATGGATTTCAATTTCCAGAATTCTCAGCAATGGACATGCTTGTGGGGATAATTGTGGCATATAAAATCCTTACATCTGGAATGTGCCCAGTTTTCTGGAAGGCTGGTAACTAAATAAATTCCACATTAACGACATGGCTTTGGGATTTCAAATGATTGCAATAGAGAAAACTTACAATAAAGCACATTGCAATTTTGAAATTCACTTAACTATTTCTAAAATTCAATTACATAAGTCATTTAAGTATTTCCTGAATGCTCATTTTCACCTTCTCTTTTTCAAAGCTTCATATGCTATTTCAGTATTCAACTATGCTGTGTTCTATACAGGTAGCCCTTGCTTAATGCTCCTAAATGGAACCGGCAATGCTGCTACTAAGCAAAGTGGTTGCTAAGTGGGAAATCACATGACCATGACTGTGTTTTTTGGCTAGAAACAAGACTACTCAGTTTTACACACTTTTTTTTTTTACTCCTAACGACTCCCCTGCCCTTTGAAGTGCTCAAATGCCTGCTTATTGTCTTGTATTGCAATGAAAGCTGAGGGTTGGGAGCCATGGGTACACTACAGAAACAGCTTATAGCAATAGCACTTAGACTTATATACTGCTTCACAGGGCTTTACAGCCTTCTCTAAATGGTTTACAGAGTCAGCATACTGCTCCCAACAATCTAGGTCAGTGTTTCTCAACCTTGACAATTTTAAGGCATGTGGACTTCAACTCCCAGAATTCCACAGCCAGCAATGCTGGCTGTGGAATTCTGGGAGTTGAAGTCCACATGCCTTAAAATTGTCAAGGTTGAGAAACACTGATCTAGGTCCTCATTGATGCTCTCTAGAGAAAACAGAAAATGTAGAAACTGTATTCTCTACAGCAATCTACAGAAATCACAGAGGGGAGAGACTTGATCTTGCTAGGGTGGGGTTTCAGTATGTTCCTCTCCATCTAAACTCCTTAGCTTCCAGATTCTGAGTTAGAATCTCAATAGCATCCCTTGGACATCAAGGGCTGAGAGATATCATTGGCTATAATCAGCATCTTGCTACCTCATCCCATGTTGATATCTGGCAACCTCAAGTAGATGTTAAAACAAGAGTGGGGAGGGAATTGAGTCCTGGGATATATCACAAAGAAAGGATTAAGAGCTAGAATTCTCCCTGTATAAACGCCAACCAGAACTGCACTGAAGTAAAATCAGTGCAACACTATGTTTCCTGCTCATAAGCCTGCATCTGTAGAAAAGTATACCATGATTGATAGTATTAAAGGCCACTGAGAGATTAAGGAAGGCCAGAATATATGCACTACCCCCATTCTGATTCCATCACTGGTCATCTACAAGCATGATTAGTGTCATCCCTATACTGTGTTCAGACTTGAAAGTCAACTGAAAGGAATCCCAATAATCTGTTTCCTCAAGAGCCTTGTGAAGCTGCTAGCTGACCACTTTTCAACAACGTATCCCAAAAAGGAAAGTCAGAAGACAATTCAGAAATCATCCACCACTATTTGGTCAAGGAATAGCTTCTTGAGGAAGGGATGGACACTGCTCAGGCAGATTCATCCCTTCATTCAAGAATGAATTTGCCACTCTTGAGACACAACTACTTGTCATCTTCCAGAAAAGCAACAGCATTAAGACTTAGATACCACTTCACAGTGCTTTACAGCCCTCTCTAAGTGATTTACAGAATCAGCATATTGCCCCCAGCAATCTGGGTCCTCATTTTACTGACCTTGGAAGGATGGAAGGTTGAATCAACCTTGAGCTGGCCAGAATCTAACTCCTGGCAGTCAGCAGAATTAGCCTGCAATACTGCATTCTAACCATTATTTAGCTCTCTAAATAATGCTTTAACCAACCAAAGAGGGATCTACTGAGTTTACATTCTCAGGCCTAAGAAGCCTGCTCACTTCCCACATAATCAGATGATTAATCAACTCAACAGTTGGAGTCCAGCTCAGAGTTAATCTAAATGATTTTATTTGCCAGACGTCTTGAAAAAATTGTCACAACAGCCCTTCAGATAATTTTCTGAATCATCTCTCTCTCTCCCCATGGAGGTTTAGAGCAGGTTTAGAGCAGGTTACCTAACAGGGCCACAGGGTGGCAAAATGCAGAGGAAAGATGAGAGGAAAAATACTGACATTTTGCCACTCTTATTGTCATGATGTCATCCTTAATAATGGCTGTTATCTGTGTTCAGTCAGGCATGTCCTTTACCTTCCTCCAGTGGTATTCTGCTGCTTCATCTCTCAGAGCTCCACTATAAACCAGAGAGCTTTACATGCAGGAAAACACCACAAGGTGTAATCTGAGCCAAGACTCCAGCCACCCTCTGACTCCAAGAGGAAAATAAGGCCTGTGTACAATAAACAGTCAGAAACCTCCTCAAGGACCCTCTAAAACCCAATAGGTGTCTGGCAGACCAATAAAATGGTTCCTACATTCTTGAAGTAGTACACTCAGCTACTCTGAAAAAAAAAATTATATAAATGCAGATTTTTCAAGTACTCCCCAAACAACAATCTCTATAAAGAAGTCTTTGTTTTGTTGATTTGAGGGAAGGAGGGATTATTCTCACCGGTTAAAAAAGGGAATATAAGCTTTGCAGTATTCAAAAGTATTTTTCATACTTTCGTGAAGTTTCAAGTGAATTGTGAACTTCCATTGTGATTCTTCTTCTTTCAACTGATAAAATCCCAAAATAGGTGGAACAGGTACCTGGTTGGGATGCACAGAGATAAATAGCTGAATTTGTTATATTTCTAAATTAAAATCATTTAATGTATTGTATAAATTGTTGGTTTCCATTTTAATATGCTGTAAAGCTACCCTTAGGCTTCTTTTGGAAGTATGTGATAAGGGTGCACATTCTAAAATAAAATAAATTAAAATAGGATGACAGCTTCCAGATGTCAGATATAAACTCTGTGATTGCTAAACAGTAAGATAATTAGGCAGAGAGTGCTTAATTCTAATGGAAAATAGGAATTAACAACTCATTTGCAAGCTAGATTCTCTAAACCACTGATCAGCAGGGTGCTGGAAATATTTCTAGGATGAAGGCCAAAAGCTCTCCTAACACCACACAAAGCATGTAATGAGCTGGAGGGTTATTGCTAACTTGAAAATTCCTTTCAAAATCACATAGTTGAGAAGGGATCATCTGTCATGTTGAGAAGCCAAGCTATTGCCAAGGAAGATACTGGGGCTGCCTTGTCTTTCAGAGATGAAAATTAGGTAAAAATCAACTCACATGTAAAAACATTACTCATTAAAAGTTCAACTTAAGGCATTTTTTCGTAATAAATTTAGATGAGCATTGTTACTTCAGTATCCTTAACACGTGTAGCCAAACTGTCCTATCAACTTTTTTTTTCTAGTTTGATATAGGAGCCTTTGGTAAACATTTGATGATGTTGTTCCTGACTGGTTTATTACAAATCTTGAAAACTTACCTGGGAAGTGTAAAAGCACAAATTAAACAGATCTGAAGGTGGTATAAGAGGGAATTTGTAAGGTCCACTGAAAGCTGAGTCATCCATTGCATCAACACTACTGGAGGTCAGAATAGCAGAATCAAGGGATGTTACACAGGGATGGACCAAAATATCTTGGAGAGGAGAACCATTGGCAGGGAGGTTCAGACCAACAGTCACGTTGGGAGCAGTGCCTTCTATATCACACTTCAAGCACAAAAACATAGGAGAATAGGAACTTACTGGTGAACAACCTAATTTAATACACTTCCTACAATAAATTGTGTATTATCTGGTGGCAAGAGGAAACCTCAATTTTTTTCTTGCTTAGAGTAAGGAGTGGGCAAACATTGTTTCTGTAGCTAAAATGAACCTTAGTCTTATATTGTATTTTTAGTTAGTTTTCAGATCAGAACTGAGTTTTTAAATTATTTTCTTATAAAATACAAGTACAGCAAATACAAGAACTGATGTTTAAAGTAAATTCATTACCATTCTAAATTCTATAATTGCATAATGCCTTATACAAAGTATAGTGATTCATTCAGCCACAATAATGTACTCTGATTAGCAACGCCCTTCAAAATATCAAGCAAGAGTTCTGTTTTCACTATGGTCTATAGATTCTTTTACTAGAAATTGATGGTAAACGATTTATGGAATCCAGCATGCATATTATAGCACAGGATTATGGTTCTTCTTTATTATAATGTTTTAATCTTTTTTGTAAAAGTATTGATTTAGTAAAGTATTATTATCTACTGCATATGTAAATATATGATATCTAAATTTGTTTTCCAACCTGGACTTTGTCATTTACACTGTAAACTATTCAATTTTTTTACCTAGAAAATAAAGATTCAAATCTCTACTGAGTTGTCAAACACACTCAAGTTGCAGTCTTACTTTTTTAAGTATAAGACACATTGGAAAAAGTAGCACTTATTTTGGAGTATGCACATATTAGATTACATTGCCATTGCTTCTACTCAAATGAAACATCATACCAATATATGATTTAAATTAACCATAATTGGAGTTCCAAATATACACAGGCAAATCAGATTTAGAGCAGTTTACTCTTTTTGCTTTTTATCTCTTCAACTCTTCCATGTCAAGTTATAGGAGTATATAATGTGTCAGAAATGGGTTACTGATTCTCAGTTTAATTCTCAATTTAATTCTCAATTTCATAATTGGTTTCATGTCTATATATATATATGCAAAATTGATAAAATTTTAGCAGCTTGTCCTATTACCAGCAAAACTAAGAGCAAGATATGCAAGAGCATAACTGTAAAGTGAGGTTTTCATTCTAGTTTAATTTATCAGAATGAACCGAGTCTAAAAAAAACCCCAATATCTTTCCTTTGACATGCTGAAGCATTAAAAATATTAAGTTCAGCTTCTCTACACACCAAGATGAGCTGAACTATTGCTCTTCCAGATGCATCCATGTGTCAAATAGGTTATAGAGATTTGCAATAGGAATCATCTCACCTTGCATGTTATAGTTCCATAAACTTGCCACATGTCTGCCACATCCCTTTGGTCATACTGGACAGATTTGACTTTTTCAATGATACAGATATTAACTTGAGGCTTTCCCTTGTACGTGTTGCTTCTCCAAGCTGGTGGTTTCTGAGTGTGACTACTTACAGCAACGTGACTATTTTCCAATGAACCATTTAAATTTGTATCTAGTGGAGTCCCCAGAGGACAGGCCTGCATAACCAAACTTGGCAGCTGGGCAACTTTGGTACTCCTGTCTGCTTCACTCTTCTGATTAGAGTTCATAAAAGCCAGGAGCCCCAACAAGAAGTCAAAAGCCTGAGAGATTCCACTGATACTGAAGAGAGGTGGTTGTGGTATAAGGGACTGCTCAACTAAAGGAAGGCCAACGTAAATCAATCCATTCTTTCGGAAAGCCACTACAGGCCAGAGATCCTTCCTTTCAACCTGCAGTGTATAGACTGAGGTCTTGTTGATTCTGGAACAGCCGTCTCTACATTCTACAAAGTGTTGACCTTCATCTGTCAGCCTCAATTCAAAAAGTAATGCTTTAAGGAAAGGACCGTCTTCTGGTATTGGCACATAACTTGGCCCATTGAAAAACTGTGCTCGCTTTTCAACTGTGGGGTAACGTCTGCAAGATGGAAATAGAAGTACAGCAGAAATATTAACATTCTGTATTGTCTTCCTGCTTGCACAAATCTGGAATATGGTACAAAAGATCACATCAATCTGTTATTATTCCACATGTATAAACCTTGAAATACATCAGATAGATGTTGCTAAAATCAAATCATAAATTGGCTCCAGCATATTTTCATGTTAAAAAGCAACATTTTATGCAGTGACACAATTAACGTTTTGCACCTTTTATATTCTTATATTCATGTATTCAGCTCTCATTTTACCGAAACAAGCACTCATACCCCAAATGTATCTCCTTTAGTGACTGCTGAGATGCCATAAGTGAAGAACCCAGAGACTTGACTCTTCATAGTTCTATTACCAACAAGATACGCTAATCATAAAGGCACAATGCTTGCATTATTTGCAAGCCTAACTATCTGAGAAACAATGTTTTGTGTTTCTCCATTCAGAATGGTTGACTATCATTGGCTGCACTGGTATCTCTCCTTATCCCTATAGTTAATTATTTCATTATGTAGTGTGAAAGAAATATCAAACACGTGTAATATCACCAGGAGAGCAGAAAAACATATTTTTAATAAATGGGTTTAACTACTATGTTGTACAATAATTTCTAAAAGACTCCTTTGTCAGAAGCAAGACTTTTCCCCCCAACATTAATCTAATTCAAAAATGTCAAGTTGACAATGTAACTTTAAAGTATAGTAGGAACGAACAAAAGGGAATAATTGGTATTATGTTGAGTTGGTATCTGAACTTGGCACAGTGGAAGATTTCTATTTGTTATTTCTAATTCCCAGTTTGACTGAAGGATGCCTGAAGTGTTCCTGAGTCTATACCAGAGTACAAATATTGCTATACCTAAACAATGACCATTACAGTTTGTGTACAGATTTTTCAGAAACACTATATGGTCCTTATGTTTTTCATTTCAGCTCTTACAACATTCACATGAAAGAAGTAAGGGCTTATGGGTGGCGGAGTATATTCTTGTTTAGATATAAACAAGTTTTTCCATTCTGCAGTGGTGTGAATGCTTCTCTTTTTATTTAAACCTTTTTTTTCAGGGTTTGTGTTTCTGATTCTCTTTACTGCCATCCAGTGGTTACCAGTTATTTGCAGCTCAGATTCTGGCCTCTCCAGTCTTTGTTAAATAGGAGAGCAATTATATTCCACTGGGTTAAGGCTGAACAACTCATTTGTTATAGAAATTCATAGTTTCCACACATCTACAATACAAGCTGCAAGTTGGCCCGCAATATCATATTTCTACAGAGATAATGACTCATATGGAAAGAACTTAAGATTTCTAGTGCTTACGCTTATGTAACCAGAATTAACCATAAATTTAATTCTGGTTACAATTCATAATTCTCCACCCCACTTCCCCAATAAAGTTTAAGAGCCATTGCTCTTCATAAATAACAATGGGCTAGAAAGACAAAAGATCTAAGGTCTGTTCCCAATTTTAACTTCTATGCTTTCAAAAAATCATAGGCAGATTAATAATGTACAGACACTTCTCTATGACAGATTTCAGTCTTTTGGAATTACAGCTATCAGTGAACCTTGAGAAGAATGAAAAAAGCTCCAAAACAAGCTTAAATTTATATATTAGAAATGGCCTTTCCCCCAATGTCCTCCTAGCTTATATGATAAAAATGTCAGCATATAATTGTCTGGGGTGGTTGTACAACAGAGAATACTCATTCCACTAAGACATCTTCAAAGTTTTTATTTTGTATTGGCAATTCAAAGTAAATTTGCATTGTACAAGGCTATGTAGGAAAGAAGTTGTAAAATTGCTGTTTGTCCACTTAACCTAAACTTGTATATTCTGAAAGCATCTCTCTACGTAGTAATAGGCACTTCATTCTCATTAGTTGCTTGAGATACCAAAGCCAGGGATATAAAAAACTGAATCTGACTGTCTGCATATGTGCTCGGCTAAATTATAGATTCTCTCCTAAAGACTGCAGGATACTATCTATTGGGTCAAGTTCTGCTTTATAGTATAGACAGAAAATGATACAAAAATCAGCAAAAGGTGCCAATATTTGCAGTAAAAGAAATGTTATACAGGCTTGGACCAGAGAAATACACTATATTACCTGGAAAACAGCACAATGCTTTGTATTTCTTGCTCATGACTGATGAGCCATAGTCCTCTCAGAGCCATCACTGATAATTATCAGACTGGAAGATCACCTTGTCTGCTTTACTGCCAAGAAAGTTCCAGTTCTGGGCATTGTTTGATATGGTTCATATTTTCTTCCTTCTCATTTCCAATGCTGCAACTTGCTTCTGCATGGGAGGACTGGAGTCTCTTATTCTCCACCAAGCTCCCTTTCCACAATCACACCATCAGGGTGCTTATTGGGACACACATCTCTCGTTAATTACATTCCACACAAAAATCTAGGGGAAACAGATTAGGGAATCTTAGTGTACTGGACAACAGGCTTTCAAAAGGAAACAAGGCCCCCTCAGCCAAATTAGACCTAGCCCATTCTATGCCTGGAGTTACACCCCCAACAAACACCCCAGTTTTGTAGGTCAGCAATTCCTTGTACAGGGCTTCCCAATTTGAAAACCCCAGCTCTAGGAAAAAGATCACCACTCACACTGACCCTTATAGCAGGCAGAGCTGCAAAATCGGAAGAAGCCTAGCTGCTTCAAAGAAAAACAAAACAAAACAACCTCAGAAAGTCTAGTTGCCTTTGGGAGAAGCCCAGCTTCACTTCCATGTACAGTAGTGTATTATTCTCTTGGCTTCTCTCCAAGCGGGAAAGGCAGATCTCTTGCAGCATAAAAAGCCCTTTCCCTAGTCAATGCCTCCCCCCCTTCTTCTAGAAGACAGTCTCCTAAACCGAGGAGGCGCACTCTGCCCCCAAATCCTTAAGGCATCCCTGCTAAATTGGAGCTTCGAAAATGCCTTCCCTTCGTGTCTATGGAGATTCTCAGTCATCCAGGTCATAGTTATCAATCGCTTCCTTGTTTAAACCCCCTGAGCCAACAGGCCTCAACTGCACCAAGCAGAGCCCCCTTTTACAGAGTACGTGGCCTCCTCCCGCTGTAACTCGGTCCCCCCTCAACCAGAAACGCTTCCGCCACACATCCCTCCTCTGGGTGACGATCTGGGGAGGCCTTCAGCCCCAACCTCTTCGCCGGGTCTCTCCATTCTCCCCGAAACGAGCAGAGAGTGGTTACATCGGAGGGCCGAAGAAACGACAGCGGTGGCGGCGACAGCAGCTGACTGAGGCGCCTGGGCGGAGCCACCTTCCAGGCCTCACCGCGGCTGCGAGCCGAGCAGCACCGGTGGCCGCTTGGGGGGCCTATGGTTGGTTTCCGAAGGAGGAGGAGTTGGAAGTTGCCGCCGCCGCCGCAGCCGCGGGAGCGGCGAACGCGGCAGCTAGAGCAACCTCCCTGCGGGAAGAGACAATGGAGGAGGCCTGGGCTGGGCGCCGGCCTGCCGGCCTGAGGGGACGGATTCGGGAGAGAGACAGCGACGGGAGCGCCCTGGCCGCGGTCACGCCCGAGCTCTTTGAGGTAAATATTGGCGGGGGATGGGGAGCCCACCCTCCTTTTCTTTCCTGCTGGGAGAGAACCCGACGGCCCTCGGCGTGTGGCAGAAAAGTTGTCACGGGAGAGCTAAATCCTGTACTGGCGTGGGTGTGTGTATGGACTTTTTTTTTTTCAATAGGGAGAGCGCCTCTGGCTCACACCTTCCCCTATAATTGCTCTTTCGACGGGCTAAGCAGCCCGGGGATGGACCATCCTATGGTGTGGGGGGAAGGGAGTTGGTGGGGCGAGGGTCTGTCCAGGGGTTCAGGAGGGGAAAGGAAAGAGGGAGATGTGCCTTTGCTGGAAAAGGAGGGGAAAGTGCCTTTTGCAAGTGCAAGAATGAACTATCCCGGGGATTGGAAAGCTGGAGGGCGAGAAAGAGAATGGTATTGTGTGAATTGAAGGTGATGAAAGAGAAACAGTGGAAACAGAAGAGGCAGGACGAGACCGAAGAGACCCGGTGGAGGCTGGAGGGACGAGCCGTGGAGGTCGCCGAGTCAGGCTGGAAAACCGCGAGCAGCCACTTTCCACCGACCTACAATTTACCCCGTACGGTGTATCGGCGAAGGCCGCAGACCCGATTCCAGCAGCCACCGGAGACCAATGGATGCTTGACTGGAGACCGGAAGAGAAGGCGGAAGCCCAGACAGACCGCCATCAGACTCCAAAGGGTGGTTTAGAGAGGAGGGAGAGCTGAGATGAGCTGGAACGTGGCGCAATGGGCAGAGAGAGAGAGAGACGTGGATGGGAGCGACTCGGAATCGAAGAGGCCTGGAGAAAAGAAGCATGGCGGAGAAAGAAGATGAGGGATGAAGAATGGGGAAAGTTGGAACGGAGGAGTTTTTGGAGAGCGGAGCTTAGAAGAAGGGGGTATCCGGGGGTGCATTGCCTGAGATCGAGCGGTTGAGGGTTGGGAGACGAGAGAACCGAGAGCAGTTGTTTAGGAAGTATTGGCTGTGCAGGATCGGTGGGGGAAAAGAGGAAAGGAAAAAAATCATAGAAAACTGGGGGGCTGGCAAGAAAAGTGAAGAGCGGATTAGGGAGGGGAGTGCGGGAGGCAAAGGAGCGCATTGAGTAGGAAGAAGTGACGGTAGACCCTCCCACAGACCATGAGAGATGGAGGAGAGAAGTAGTCACTTACAGAAAGACGAATGGAAAGTGAGTAGGATGAAGGAAAAAAAGTTGGAGAGGATAGAGATTGAAGGGTGTGTTTTAATTGATAATAGGGTGGGGTAGTACCTGGGAGAGAGGACAGGGTGATTGGAAGCTTGGACTGTCACTAACCATTGCCCAGATGAGAGTGGAGCAAATGAGAAAAATGTGGGCAGTCACTTAACTTGCTGCCCAGAAAAGGAGCAAATGGGAGGATAGGAAAGAAATGAGAAGGGTGGAATTGAAGAAGAGTAGGAGGTAATAGGAGTTACTGGGAGTTCTTAATGCTTAAAGTTCCCCAGTGTGATTGGAGTGAAGAGATGTCTGAAGAAGACCATCAGGATAGTGATAATCATAGAGAGGTAATTGCAGGCGATGGGGCAAGCTGTTCCAAGGGTGAGGGATTGGGAAATTTGAAACCAATCCCTTCTTCCAGCCTCTTGATCACACTTGAGAATTAGGCAGCTGGATTTCTGGGGACCTAGTTGATGCTCTTAAATGCTAGGTGTGCCTTTATTAAGACCATCAGTTGTGACTTGATTGAGAATAAAAGGGTAGATGTGGCATGTATTATTGAATTCTGGATGAGTGAGAATGAAGTGCCTTTGCCTGAGGCTGCTTGGGTTTCAGTAGAGTCCCCACTCCTTTAGAGGTGCAACAAAAGGGACCTGGAGGTATAAACCTTCTATGCAGGAGCTCCCCTCCCCTAAATTATTTTAGATATTTAATACTTTGGGTATTTTTGTTTACTGTATTGTTATTGATTGTAAACCACTTAGAATCTGACTTGTAGCATAAAAGCATTTGGAATAAATTGTATCCCAATTTGTCATGCAGCAAGGCAAGATTATTTTGTAAACAATGATTTGCAATAAAATTCAGAATGGGAATGAGTGTAGAAAGAGATGTTAAAGATGTACAGTAGAATGGGGATGGAATATAGGTTTCCAATTGTGCTCATTACAGTCATGCTATCTGAAAAGATAGTTTAATAATCTTATTTTTAATTCCTATAATTAATGTTTCTCCCTGCAAAACTCCATTTTGTTTGCAATTGGTGTTCTTAAGAGAGGAAAAGCTTGCACAGTAATATTGATAATTAAATATTCCGCCTCTATCAGCTATTCTGATTCTGTGACAGAGCACTCCAGCAATCCACCACTGTGGAATTTTGAACTGAAAATCATTCATTAAAATCCTAGTTACTAAGGGAGTAACAGATCAATATTTAAATTAAAGGTCTTATAGGCTCTTATTTTCATAATTGCATCTACACCAAATCTTTACGTGGTATGAAGGGAATTCATTTTCCAGGATTGTCTTAAATTACAATTATTCAGACATAGCACTGTGCTCTGTAAAAAAAACTGGCAATGCAAACTTCTCTGGGCATGTAATAGGATCAAAGTGGGCTTTGAATTTACTTTAGGAACAGAGTTACCTGGGGCTTTATTTTTCTGGCCTTGTTTGCTTACATGAAAAAAAAACCAGAGTGAGCATGTCTATAAAGTTATGGTCAGAATGATGTTAGTAGTAAGGTATATAAAGGGTATATATAGGGAAGGAGGCATGCCCTGGAAAATAAAGCCTCGGTTGAAAATGATTCTACAATCTTAGCTCGTGCCAAAACATGGACATTTCAAAATTAGTCTTCAGAATATTTTTTTTAAATAAAATTATATAAATGTCCCTTCATTGAAAAGTCACAATCCTTCCTCCTGCTGCATCTGATTTACTGGAAAGTAAATTCCATTGAACTCATTGACTGAATTCATGTAATACCTGATTTTTTTAGCATGATGTGTAACACAAGACTCCTTCATTTTCACTTAGTATTATGTGTGAACCGTTTATATTATTCAAAAGGCATAGTTAAAATAATCCTCACTTAATAACAAAAGCTAACAATTACATACAGGACTTCTGGAAGTATTTCAGGATGACACAATAAAATCAAAAGAATCAATATCCCAGAAGAAGCAGCCAGGAATAGATAACAGGGAATCCATAAAATCTAGCAAGCTATAAAGCCATTTTTAAAACTTGTTGAAATGGCCAGCCTTTTTTTAGAAAGGCCAGCCTTTTTTTAAAAAAACAACAACAAACCCACCACGTTGCATTAAAAGTGAATTAAGATTAGTTGCCATAACATTGTTTTGTGGCGCATGTGTTCTACTTTTTGAAGATTGCAATTGGGAAAGTCCTTTTCCTAGTCTTCTGCTTCATGAAGATTTCCAGTGTTTATTTGTAATTTTAGAATGCAGATGGTAAACTTTTCAATTTGTCAGATCTATTTTATACTGGCAAGAGATCTTTGTGACAATCCAGAAATAACAGTTAGTACAGTACTATTTCATTTTGTGTAAGTAAACCTGCAAAAAAAAAAGTTTACATATTACAAAATTCCAATTAAGCTACAAAAACATCAATAACTACAGCCATACTATCTTTGTCCAGAAATGAGGGACTTGGAGAAAGGTAATCCATAGTATCTAGTGTCGAGTAAATTACCCTGTACTGTTCTGTAGCTTCAAACATGTCAGTGTAATAGATTCCCTTCATATCACTTCTGGTAGAATACTTTGGAAGTTCAAGTTCAACAGCTTCCCAGATTAGAGGAAAAGAATGTAGATGTACTGGTTTTTACCATGTAAGTTAATTTACATGAGTTAATTCAAAAGACAGCCTTTGCTCTCTGAACAAGAGATCAAATGTTCAGTGGTGTTTTAGAATACCTAAATGTGATCAGTCTCAAAATACTTTTAATTCAGAAAAGCTTGTTTTTTCAGTGTTTTTTTAAAGCCCACCTCCTAATAAATTAGATTTTAATGTTAGATTTAAAAAATAAGCAAAAAGTCTGCTTGTCTTTTTTCCCTTCAAATGAAATTAGTACCAACATTGTAATAATTTTATACTCCAACATTTTAATAAAGTTATCATTAAAGTGTTCCACCAATAGGTCTTTATAATTATTGCATTCTGTAGACTTAAAGTTTGAATTAAATTAAAAAATCTAAAAATACAAATAGCTTTCCCCAAAGACTTACAGTTCAGAAATGTCATGTAGAACATGAGGGTGACCAGGGTTTGGGGTTTGTAAATATGCAAAATGGGAGTGGCGTGATGAAAGCCACAATGGTAGAAAATGGTACAGTGTATTTAAGAAAAATGTTGAAAAAAATGAGTCATGAATACATCTTTGATGAATTGGCTTCTTAAAAGCTTCCTCTGGTAATTTTTGGAAAATGTGGATGCTGGAATATGTGTACTTATATTCTACTCTTATCAGTTGTATTCTTGTAAACTTATAAGACAAACATTTTAAATGCGAAACGAAGTTATGGAACATGAAACTGCCTTATATTAAGACAGACCATCCTTGTATGAGCAGGTCCCTGAAATTGAGATGGAGTGTTTTTCTCACTGTTGCTGAGATCCTTGTAATAGGATAAATTTAGGATTTTTAAAAAGACACCTTCCGTTGCCCAATCCAAAACTGTTTTGAGCTATTCTGTGGGAAAAACCCTCCATATGACAGGTTAGTCTTAGGGAATGACACTGTTGAATGAATTAGTAGTGAAGTAGACTGAACTTTGTTATTGACAGGTCCTGAAGTATAGAGGGCTGGCAGTTGTTACTGATGCTTGCTAATTATATACGGTACTTCAAATATTTAAAGTTTTTAAAATGTTTAGTTTTTAGTTTAAATGCACAAATATCAGAAGT